TCTTCCCATTTTTTTTTGAATTGTTTTTAGTGTTTTCATGGAGTTGTTAATTGGCGTGGAAGATATGTCGTCAAAGCTTTTCTTATGTCCCCTCCCTCGAAATTGACTATGAAATTTAAAGTATAAGAAAAATAATTGTTTTCATGGAGTTAGTTAATTGTTTTGGAAGATATGTTGCATTATATTTTTTTTTTTAATGTTTTATTGTTATTTTTCCCCCCAAATTGATTATGAAATTTTAAGAAAGTATAAGTCTGTTTGTTTGACGTAAAATATTTTATAGGAAAAATATTTTTCTTGTAAATTGATTTTACAAAAAATAAAATTTGTCTTTTGTTTTTCAGCGTTTAGTTGACGCTTGAAACAAAAATATTTTATTACTTAAAAGAGAAATTTGATTCAATAAAGTGTTATTATAACCTTTTATGTGTTAAAATATATTTGAAAATGTAGTGATTGATAGTCAATTTTGTAAAAAATTAATTTAAGAAAATTTTTAAGGTAAATCATTTTTGGAAAAATGATGTAAAAATATTTTATTAAAAAATGTTTTACTTACTGTCCAAACGATGGAAAATGAAAAAAATATTTTAGATGAAAACAAATAGAGCCTATTGTTTTATTTTTATTTATTTTATCCCCCAAATTGACTATGAAATTTTGAAGTATCAAAGAAAATTTTGGTATGTTTGGTTTTAGATTGGAATCATGATTCCAATAAAAAATTTCAAAACTCTTTTAAAATACTATTTCAAAACTCATAACAAACTCTTTTCAATTTTTTTTTTTTAAAAAAAAGTTTTATTTTGTTCTTTAAAATTATTTTATTTTTGATTTTTTTTGAAAAAATATTTTTTTCAGATAATTATATTTTTATTTTATTTTATTTTTTAAGAAAAATATTATTATTTTTTTTTGAAAAAAATATTTTGTTATTTTTTTTAAATATTGGCCAAATAATTTGTTATGATTTAAATATATATGGGTGATTCAATATTTTTTAAAATTTTAAAAAAAAAATATAAAATATTTAAAATATTTGAAATAAAAAATATGAAAATATTTAAATAAAGATTATATATTTAAAATAAAAAATATATTTTTAAAAATTTTAAAAAATTAGCACAAATGTAGAAATACAGCGCACATTAAAAAACTAATTAAATATTTACCCTACAAAAAAAAATTAGAAAATTTTTAAATATTTTAAAAAATTAATCCAAAATAATTTCAAAAATACAACTCAAAATTCAAAACGAAACAAGTTTTCTCTTTTCAAAACTTACTTCAATTTTATTTTTATTTTTTTCAAATACAACTAAATACTCAAATCATGATTTTAAAACTAAACTAAACGGAATGTTTTCATGGAGTTCTCTAATTGTTTTAGAAGATATGTCACGTATATAGTTTTTTTTTTTTTTGCAAATTGATTATGAATTTTAAGAAAGTATTAACAAAATAATTTGCAAATTTTGTTCGACTGATTTTTTTTGTTTTTTGTGTGTGAATACCACAGGTTCAAAGGCAAAAAGAACTCGCAGCGGATGTCATGTCAATATATAACAATTAAAAAATTATTGATCAAAAAAAAAAATTACAATGAAAAAATTAAATATATATATATATATAAATTTTTTTAATTTAATACCACTAATATGGAACTTCTAACATGGCTCATTCAAATCACAAAGAAGTGGTATGTACTGTAACAAATTATTTGAATATTGATAAGTTGTTTTGGATGCAAAATACCCATCTGTGTCTAAAAGTAAACTGAACAATCTCCACTTTACACACACAATGATGAAATAAACTACCCAAAAACCCATAAACTGAACTGAGAGACTCTCTTCCCTGATTAAGCAAAACCTGAAAGAAAAACTGCGAAAACCGCCATAGACAATCCGAGCTTACCAAGAAGCCCCATCAAAGCATACCGTGGAGCAGCAGCACTTGGAGGAGGTGCAGCAGGTGCTATGGTGGCAGGACTTGAAGGGGACGGTGAAGGGGTCGGAGAGAGTGGAGTCCGAGGCACATTGATGTCAACCTTCTGTCCAGCCTGGCAGTGACCGGTGAAGCCACATAGGAAGAGGTGATGGCCGCGTTTGGTGATGGTGATGGAGTCGTTTCCCGTGCTGTAGGTGGCGATTGGGGCTGAGGAATTGCAGGCTTGGTACTCTTTGTGGGTCACTTGCAACACGTTGTGATATTGAGAATTGTATTCGAAAACTGTTTCGCCATTTAACATAAATTTTGTTAGGATAATGTGTGAACACAACAAATATCAGAAACATGAGGTAGAAGTAAGAAAACAGAGAATGACATGTCACAAGATGAGCAGGACTATGGGATTTTAGTCTTACTATTGCACAATATAATTTTCATCCTTCTATTTTCTTTCTACCGATTATTGAAAAATAAAAACCCAAACCCTATCCAGCCCAACCTGAATCATGCATGGACTCATTTACAAACTTTTATGCCCTTTCTCTCCCTTCCTTGGTGGTCGATTTTGAGCTTAAGTTGACTTACCCTGGTCCATGGATTTTTTTTCTGATGGATGATATTTTTGTTTAGTAGGGGCAAAATCTTACTTTAAACCATTCAATTTTTTTTTTCCTGACTGACAATTGAATATTTTCCCTTAATCTAAACCTAATTTTTAAAAAATTGGATGCAATTCAACTAAATTGGACCCCAATGCCAAACACCTAACATCCATAAAATTCAGGAAATCTACAAAATTTTGCCCGAATATGTTAAAAACACAATTTAATACAGTGAATCCAGTGCATAAAAACAATAAAATTTAACACAGTAAATTTATTGCATAAATTAATTTGTATATTTAAATTTTGTGTAGCTTTCATTCTCTTACTTTGTCAATTGTATATTTATGTTGTGATGTACAATATAGACTTATTTACGAAGAAATCATTACAAGGGACAAATAACAGATCTAAAATGGTCAAATATAATAAGTAGCAAAGGATAAACAATGTTTTCATTTTCAAAATTTAGTGCACTCTGCCTAAGGTAAGTCCACCCTGCTGAGCTAGGTGCTACGCTCATACATCATGTGGTAAAGTTTTTTCATAATCCAACAAAGTTTGCTTAATTTTCTTTATAGGAAAACAACAAATCAGATTATTTGATTAAAAAATGTTTATAAAAATATGGGATGCAATCATTTTTGGTGAAAAAAATACAACAAAATCGTATCCAAAAAGTTATTATTTGATCACTTTAGTTTTTACCATTATGTAAAAAAATTATAAATGAAATATGAAAACCGTGCCTGCTAACTATATATTTATAAAATAAATCTAAAGTATTTTACACATAATCCAGTTGGAATCCACCCTTTGTCTCTCAATTGTACCATTAGGTAAAATATTTTTTTAGCACGACTACATATATAGCCTCCGTTTGGCAAGGACTTTTTCAGGTTTTTTTGGCTATTTTAGTCACAAAAAACAAAATAGGTTATTTTAGCCATAACAAACAAAACATCACATCCAACCCATAATCATTACATTCTTCTCTCACAAAAAAAGTCAAAAAAGCCAAAAAGCCAAAAAGTCCCCCCCAAACCAAGCTTTTTAGCCCAAGCTAAAATAGTCAAAAAAGCCAAAAAGCCAAAAAGCCAACCCACTTCCTAAACGGAGGCATAATTAGAATTACAAATACACAAAATTTCAAAATACACTTCATTTATAATTGAGTGATTAATGTCTAGTGTACATCCCTAACAAAAATTGGTTACTAATAGCTTTGTCATATATGTGTGTGTGTGTGTTTGTTTGTTTGTTTTTTTTTTTTTTTCAATACCAAATTAATTCATTGATTGTTATTTATATACTATGTTTTTTTTGTACTATGCATGGACATCTACTGCAAACACAACGTACAACAGTTGGATTTTAAATTCAAAAATGTTGTGTATTATGAAAAAATATTTTAAAATTTATTGCGAAATAAATTATGTAATATAAATTTTAAATTGATATAATTATAATTTATAAATGTTTTTTTTTTAATTTATAATATTACTATCATAATTAATGGCCATCATAATTAAAGCAGTGCACGTGATGATATGATTAGAGTTGGGAGTATGTGTTTTGGGTAATGAATTTTGAAGTGGGGCATCAACACTAAGCCTCCGTTTGGGAAGTGGGTTGACTTTTTGATTTTTTTGGCTATTTTAGCCTGGGCTAAAAAGTTTAGTTTGGGAATGGTTTTTTTGGCTTTTTTTACTTTTTTTGTGAGAGAAGAATGTAATGATTATAGGTTGGATGTGATGTTTTGTTTGTTATGACTAAAATAGCCTATTTTATTTTTTGTGACTAAAATAACCAAAAAAATCTAAAAAAGCCTTTGCCAAACACAGGCTAACTACGCACCACTGGCCACACATCATCAACTTCAAAAACAAAAATATTTCAGAATTCAAGAGCTTTAGAGTTGCTTTAATGAGATGATAATGGTGTGGGTCTTATCTTAGCTCTTGTCTGTAAATAGATTAATTTAGTAATTTTTTATTATTTAATTAAAATATAAATTAATAAAAATTAATATATTTGATATAATTTTTTAATTTTTTATAAAAAAATGTATAAAAAGTAAAGAGAAAAGAAAATTTTTGACTTTTTAATAAAAATTATTGACTTTTTAATTTTTTTAATAACTTTTTAATTTTTTAACTAAAAAAATCACTTGTTAAACGAGGTCTTAATATGATATTTTGATTTAATTTTTTTTGTATTTAGAAGTACAAACTCAATGGAGCTCTGCTTTAAGCTCTATGTTTAGAGCTACTAATCACTACTGTTTCAAAAAAAATAGAGGGATGGATATGATTGATTCGCTAGGACACTGGACCATTGGAGGCGTCCACGTGTCATGAAGTTGGGCCAAACAACAAAGGCCAACTTTGTTGGTATCCCACAAAGCTGTGGCAGACAACTCAAAAGAAGCCGACCACTCAAAAGAAGCCTAAGCTATCAACTACTCTTCTATTTGCATAGGAATATGTGAATGTTAGAGACCCTCTATGGTGTGATGTCACACATATCTTAATAAAAATTTTGATAAATTTTCTAGTCTTAATATTTTTCATATGTGAATAACACTCTATTGTGCTACATGCAAGCCAAAGAAAAATAGAGATAGAGCAGCGATAGGACAATAATAGATATTTTGGCATATTTAAATAAGTCTTTTGATTGAATTGTAAGTTGATATTGAATGAGTGTATGATGATGCTGTTTGGATAGTTGGGTTTTTGATTTTTTTTTTATTGAAAGACAAATTAGTTATAAATCAAAAAAATTAAATCTAAATAAAATATTACATCAAATTTCATAATCATTTCATTTTTTTTCTCACAAACATCATATCTAATTACAAAAAAAATCTAATTATTTTTCCAAACACAATTTTTTTTCTTCAATTATATCCTACAATTAAAAAAATTTACAAAAAAAACTCATTTTCCAAACGCCCACTATTAACACATTTCTTATTTTAACCTTTCGTTGCCAGCAACAATAAATTCATGTTTGATTGTCCAAAAAACAGTGGTGCTACGTATCACTAAAAAGGAATTACTAAGTGAGTTCTAATGAGTTGACAATGCTGAAAATTTAAAAAAATAAAACATCACATCAATTAGGGTTAAAATATTTTTAGAACTATTAAAACTCATTATTTAAGAGCTCTTAAACAATTTTCGTTCAAAAAACTAATTTAAAAATCATGTCAATGACCATCAAATAAATGCCATTATATGACAGTCTGAAAAAAAAAACCAATCAAATAAATGCCATTATATGACGGTCTGAAAAAAAAAAAACCAATCAAATAAAGCCAAATTTTTGTTTCAGCCAAGCCGAGAAGAGGTTTTACTACCGTGGGACCCAAACAACTAAAAATCAATCTACTGTTTATGGTTTTCTTTCTTTCTTTCAAGTATTTTCTCACCAACCAAACAAAGCAAAAGCGAACACTCTGTTTGGAATTGAAGAATTTTGAAATGCTAGTATTCAACCAAGAGATGCATACATACAATACATAAAGACATATATGCACACACGATACATGTAGATATACAACGATCAAGATATCCGGTCTCTAAATTTCTTTATTTCCCTATAGTAAATACTAATAGTAATTATGTAAAAATCTCAAAACACATACTTTTTCCACATAATTCAACAATTGCGAGTATTTTAAAACAGTAAAACCGAGTAATTTGGACCTGGAGATCTCCTGCCGATGCCATATAAAACAAAACAGGGAGCATGAAAGAGTAAACTTACTCATGACATCTCCAACATGAAACGTCTTGGAAGCAGCCCAGGCCCTGTAATCAATATTCCCAATGATGGTCCAACCAGCTGAGTCCCCAACCTTGTACACTGCTGCCATTGAAACCTCCAAGCCAGCAAACATGGCTACCAACAACAGAGCCACCGCTCTACACCCCACACCCATATCCATGGCTAAGAGAGAGACAGAGAGAGCTGAAGGGTCGTTTCTGTTTGGGGCCCTCTACAAATTGGCTAGAGTACTGAGAAATTTTTTTGAAATCTTACATTGAAGTGTTACGCTAAGGAGTTTTTTTTTAGAGTATTACATTTGAGTGTTACGTTTAGAAAAAATATATTAATGAGTTTTTTTTGAAGTCTTACATTTGAGTGTTATATTTGGAAAAAGTATAACAATGAGTTTTTTTAGAGTATTATATATGAGTATTACTTTTGAAAAATATATAATTAAGGAGTTTTTTAAAATCTTATATTTGAGTGATACACTAAGAATTTTTTTTTTAGTGTTTCAGTTGAGTGTTGCGTTTAAAAAAAGCATACTAAAGAACTTTTTTGGAGTCTTACATTGGAGTGTTACATTAGCGTGTTACAGTTTAAATTATACGTTTGCACAAAATTTTTATATTTTTGGAAGATTTTGGTTCATCTATTTGGTGAGATCTTTCCTCTTGTTTATTTGTGATTATTTGGAATTCACCTAAGGGTGGTTTTGTGAGACTATTTGTGTCTCGTTTGTAATCGTTTGGAAAATTATTTGGTTGATAGTGGAATCGGATTTCGATCCCGTGGACCGTTTGGGAACCCTCATTTTTAACTAAAAAGTCAAAAAGTTACTAAATAAGCCAAAAAGCCAACAACTTATACCAAAAAGCCAAAAATTCTCTTTTCTCTCTACTTTTTACATATTTTTTCTTAAAAAGTTAAAAAGTCATCTCAAATATATTAATTTTTTTTAGCTCATATTTTAATCAAATAATCAAAAAATTACTAAATTAACATGTTTCCAAACAAAACCTTAAATAAATATTTTGATTGAATTGCAAGTTGAGATTGAATGAGTTTTTGTACAGTTCCTATAGCGGTGTATCACCATGCATGCATACTTGCACCTTTATATAACACATTTCTTATTTTAACCTTTCGTTGCCAGCAACGATAAACTCATGTTTGATTGTCCAAAAAAAACTAATTTAAAAAAGGGAAAATTACATATACTCCTCGAGATTTAACAAAATTACAAATATCTCTTGAGATTTGAAAAATTACAGATACCTTCCTAAAGGTACTATTTGCATAATAAATTTGAGAACAAATTGTTATGAAAATATAAACATCATAAGACAGTTTGTTATAAAAATATAAACTTCACGAGGTATCTGTAATTTTCAAAATTTTAAAAGAATAACTATAATTTAACTAAATCTCGAAGAAGGTATATGTAATATGCCCTCTAAAGAACATGTCAATGACCATCAAATAAATGCCATTACATGACAGTTTGAAAAAAAAAAAAAAAAACAATCAAATGGTTTGTTTGGGACCCTCTACAAATTGGCCGTGAGAGAGAGAGAGAGAGAGAGAGAGAGCTGAAGGGTCCTTTCTGTTTGGGGCCCTTTATAATTCTGTGGACTCACCAATGGTTTGTTTGGAGCTTTGAAATTATGTTAGGGATATTAAAATTTCAGTAATGTTAGGTATTATGAAAAAAAATTTATGAAAATTATCATGAAAATTTTATGATTCTTAGATTATACTTAGAATAAAGCACCACACACTAATCAAGGTAATCCAAGGATCATAAATTTTTCATGATCATTTTCATAAAAAAAATTTCATGATCCCTAACTTTTCCCTTAAAATTTTGGGTGATTTATGTGAGTTTCACTCCATGTGAAAAATTTGATAAAATATTTGAAATACATAGCATTTGAAAAACCAATGCTAACAAATGCCTAAGTTAAGGTGCATTTTATATGATATTAAATTATTTTGATTTTATTAAGTTTCTAATTTTAACTTTTCATTAAATTGATAATTTTCTAATTTTAGTAATCCATTAAATTGAATGTATTTATGTTTCAATGAATTTTGAATTTGAATACAATTATGCAATTAATATTTTCCATTTTCATGCATAAAAATAAGTGAGATATATTAAAAAACCTTTTTTTAAGTGTTTGTATCCTAATTAGTCTATAAGATATTCTTTTATTCCAATAAGTCCTATTATTTGAACATTTGATCTACCAAATCCTAATTCTCATATTTAAAGTATTTTATGGATATTTCTACCATTATAAATATTTTTTGAACGGTTAGTAATTTGGTAATATGAACATTCATATTTTACAATATGAATATTCGCATTGACGTGTGAATGTTCACATTGATAGTGTGAACATTCACATCACAGAACATTCACACTGTCAATGTGAATATTATTAGAGGTATTTTGGTAATTATGTCACTTATAGGATTTATTGGAATATAAAAAAATAATGTGAACTAAATAAAACATAAGTAAGTGAAAAAAAATTTATGAAAAAGTGTCCCAAAAAATAATTATTGCTTAATATTTAACAAATTTTAAAAACGTAATAAAATATCATTAATTATTCTTAATGACTCATAATAAAATAATAACAATACTATAAACTCAAACTTATGAATCCGGAATTTACTCCAAAAAAGTTTTTAAAAAAAAATTCAATGGTTAAAATTCATTTTACTTATGGACCCCACACTTCATGAATTTAATATTCACCATACGAACACATTTTTCACAAATTAATCAATGGTTGAAATTCATTTTATTCATGAACTCCGCACTTCATAAATTTAATATCCACCATACAGACATATTCTTCACAAATTGTAGGTTGATAAGTTTTGATTCATAACATTTTTCATAAAATAGAAGTTATTTTTTATTTTTTATTTTTTACAATAGACCTTTCTAGTGAAATTACAATTGTTCTTCGTCCAATAAAGGCCATTCTTTTATAATTACTGTTTTGTTGCTTTGTAGATTTATTGGAGATATTTTTTTTTGTTCCCTTCTTGTTCTTTTCTAAAAGTCATAAAGTAGAATTTTGAATTATTTCATGGATCATAATGACAATTTGTCTCTTGTTCGATTATTTCTAAACTCGTGATTTATAGGTTTTTGTATTTCATGGATCATAATGACAATTTGTCTCTTGTTCGATTATTTCTAAAATTCACTAAACACCAAAAATACAAAAAAATAGAAGAATTTAGTACATTTTTTGTATTTTTATGTATTTATTAATTTTTAAAAATATTTTTCATAAATTTTTTACTTTTTAGATGCATCTAAGTAAGGTGCATATAAAAAAGTAAAAAAAAAAATGTTTAAAATTTAAAAAATATCCACTAAAAACAAAAAAAAAATACGAAAACCAAAAAAGTCAATTTTCAAAAAACTTAAACCAAAAAACTCAAACCAAACACACTGAGTAGTTTTACTATGTTGCTTTATAGTAAAGTAAGTAATTTGAAAATATTATATTGAACATATTTTTTTGATACAGAACCAAAAAAAAAAAAAAAAAATCTACGATATCTTCGATATTAAAATCTCAAGTAATATTATTTTCAATAAATATGATCAAATAATCATCATCTATCTTGTTATACAATTCAGTCTTTATATATTTCATAATTTAAACAATTAAAACAAGTAAAATTAACATAAGATAAATCAATCTATAAAGACGAGAGAGTAATCCATTTCAATAAATATTATCAAATTTTATAAACTTATTTCTAAAAATGTCATTTCAATAACATGCACGTTGATAGCGAAGGCAAAAAATTGGCATGTCAATTTCAAAACCATAAGTCATGTATCTTGCATTTCGAATATTGTAATCATCAATTAATAAAGAGTAACATTATCCACACCAAAATAAAAGTCTCATGTCCCAATCAAATTAATCATTTTTTTATAATTCTACATTGTTAAGGTTGAAAATATTCTTGTATGTTTTTCCTTGGTTATTTTTAAAGTTCTTAATTAACTTTAATTATGTTTAAATCTT